TCTAAACATGATACTAATCATTATAAACCAAATTTGATACCTTCATTGCATGCCATCATTATATAATTTATAACTTTTTATTCGAAAATAGTTTGTACCTTTGGGAATATGGAATTCAATACAGACATTATATCATATGACCATATCATATAAGTCAATTGGTTCTGTGGTACCTGAATGCAAGTATTGAAGTGAGGTATGAGTGGCGAAGTTTCTGCAAAATGTGTCACTTTAGCACGTCATTTTCACAATTTCTAATCTGAATTGGGTTGTAAGACAATAGGAAAAGTCAAGTTCCCAAATTGCTGGATATTAATATGTGTATGTCATTAGAAAGTTCACATTTATGATAAATAAATATTTGATTGCTGAAATAACTATTATCATTTATTTCTGACGCTTACAAATGGATTTTTTGATGAGTTACTTCCAGGATGAAGTTGAGCAAACAGTCAAACATCTTTTAATGCTAAGTACTGTTAGATCGATCTACAGTAATACAGTAATACATTACTTCTTCTGCACATTACATACAGATTTCTTCAACGACAAAAATAGACATACTTCTGATGAAGTGATTGCCAAGTAAGCACATATTTGATTAGAAAATGTATAAAAAATATTCTTCGATAAAATTAATTACCAAAACAATTTTCCCGTTATGTTACATTACAAATTCAGTAAAACATAACAAATCGCAGAATACAAAAAAATACAACAGGTGTTTTTCTAATTCTGGCGATTCGACCCTCTGCAAGCTTCTTTCTTCAAGTCAAAAAGTGAGAGTGAGGATGAAGCGCCTTCATTTCAGCAAATAATGTACTTTGAAAACTCAATTACTAAGATACTATCCACGAAGATGCAAAATGAATCGCAGAATAAAAAAGTCACCTCCCAACAAAACTGCGATAATGCAACGCAATCTGCGATACTAACATGCTACCGCGAAAAGACAAAATGTTGAAAGTTTTCTCGAAATATGCAAATTTCTGCCGTTGATGTATGTCCCTTTGACGCAGTGGTTTGTGTCTTAACAGTGATAAAGAAGTTAATAATTTAAAAGGAATTTACAATGTGGATGTCTTATTTTATTTGCTGCTAAGTGTCCTATTGACTTTTAGTATTATTATCTGCCACTATTAATGATTTTCAATTATAAAGTTTGCAAATGCATGTATTTCAAAATCATTACATCCATTTTTACTGCTAAATTTCATTATTTTTCAAAATTCTGTTTTCTCTGCAGATTTCTCAGAGTCTCCAACTGGAAGATTCTCTTCAGTGAAATCTGCTTCTTAAGAAAGTTGCAAGAAGGATAAAACAAAGATAAAACAATTTCTTCTCAATCTTTCGTGCTTCGAACTGTTAAAAATTGATGTAACTGTTTTGGCATTTAAGCACGACTAATGTATGAACATTAAACTGTACATTTATAGATTATTAGCGGTGGCAGGCAGTAGCATAAGAGCTCAGCAGAGGTATTAATAGTAGAGAAGTTAATATGAGTAGAAAATACTCAGAGTTATTGAAATATCAAAAATTATTGCAGAAGAGATGTCGGAAGGTAGAAAGTGTATCAAATGCCCTGAGAAAGCTACTCTGTGTAGTACAGATGTCAAACAAGCTGTATATTGCAAGTCCTGCTTCATTCTTATGGTAAAGCATAAGTTCAGATCCACTATCGGTAAGCGTCGACTGTACAAGGTATTTTTTTGGAGAAGTTTGAATCATTTGCCGCAATCAAATGAATATTTATTTTAATTTTTTATAATTTGTGTGAAAAATTCAGAGGTTTTAGTCCTTGTTGTACGATGAACATATTCTTGTCATATTGATATAGAATAATTAAAAAAATAAGCTGTAGATTATATCTGAACTTTTTTTGAAATGCGCGAACGTATCCCTCTACAGTCCTGCCATCAAGTAAAACCATCAAATAAAACAATTATACGAAATGTATATGCTGGTTTTAGCCAAAGTAGTTCTATATAAGTTAGTCACTCATATGATCATGTTTAAAATCGCTATCGGATTGAGATTTTGTATTTTATTTACTTGCAAACATAATTTGATTGATTGTCAGCGCATCGTATGCACATTGAATCTTGGTACTATTACATTTTGAATTTTAGGATGGTGAAAAGCGAGAAACTTTAGTAATTTACGATGGCACAAATGCTGGTGCATTTTTATTATCAGTTATAAGTGAAGATCTGCAAGTTAATAAGCATAAAAGGCTTGCACTTGTACCCACTGTAAGTCATTATTGTACGCAAACAGTTAAAATGATTCGTATTTTATAGTCTTAAACATGAATCCATCATTATTCTAATTCAATGATGAAATCCTTAAATTCATTTGTTCTTGACACTTTCATTTTGCTTTAACTTCAAGTTCAGTGATTTAAGATTTTTTCATAACAAAAATGGAGAATTTTTTAGCATTTTGATTTTGGCTCTTCAAAAATTATTTTCTAGTCTTTTTAATTGGAGCATAACGGGGCTAAAAATTGAATATACCTTTTTGTTTTTTGGTTTGGAGCTATTCTGTTATAAAAGTTTAAAGTTAAATATTTATTTAGGTAATGGTTCTAATGAAAGAGGTAAATAAGGAAAAAATTGACATTATTAAGCGTGATCTCGAAGTTATCAAGGAATGTATAAAGACACCGTGGATTTATGTCCACATTGCAGCAATCTTTGACAGTACTTTTGAACCACAAACCTCTTCTGATATTTGTGGCATTGAATATGTATGTGTCCTATTCATCTTTTATAATTCCTGTAAAAATCAGTGTTTTCTTTATTTGCAAACATTTCAAATTGCCTAACTGTTTTTAGTATTTTTAAAAGTGTTTTTGATTTTTTAGATTACATGCAGCCGAGTTACTAACGAACTTGATTTTATACTCGTAATACTTTCATTAATAATTGTGAAATTTTCGAAACATTTTTATTATTATACATTTGATTTGTTGCAGTTTATAGCTCTTCAGATATCGGATTGGATCAGGTTATTAGCGTCATGTTCATCACTGTCTATTCGAGAAGAGATTGAATGTTTATGTACAAATATATTGTGTGTTCGCATTGCACGAAAATTGCAGATTGATAAGGTTATGCTTCCTCTATCTGCTGATGTATTAGCTGCAAAAACACTATCGTCACTTGCTTTTGCCAGGGGTTTGTTGCTGTTCTTTTTTTGTAACAGGTTCAGTATTTGTCTGAAGAATATTTGAAAGAAAAGTATGAATTTAATGGTCTGAACTGCTTTGAGAGCGAAATGCCATTACACTGTTTGCTGCATTTCGTTTTATGTGAACAGAATGAAAACTTTATAAACTTCAGGCCCTTCTGTTTTTCACATTGCAAATGTAATTGATAAACGATATGGTGTGAAGTTGATTCGTCCATTGCGAGAAATCAGTGAAAAAGAAATGGGACTTGTAAATCGGTATATGTTAACTCCAACTCCTTTGTTTTTTTCATTTTTCCGAAATTACTGATATATCTTTTCAAAAATTTTGGTTGATGCTTGATTATTAAGAACTACGCAAGTTTTTGGTATCAAATTGTGGATTAAAATACTAAAATTAGATTAAAATTTTGTTTACTAATTAGAAAATGTTATAGATTTGAAGGAAGTGACAAGTACATTTTAAATTTTGAAAGTTGCCGTGTAGATGTTAATGCTGATAGACAGTCGTTGCAATCAGTTTCACGATATTTTATCAACACTTTAGTTGCTGATGGTTTTACTGGGACAGTAACAACTATATTGAGTACCGTGAACAAAGTCCAGGGTCCAGCTAGAAATATCAATCGTTGTCCACTCTGTGCTTCAACTTTTTCCAGCGATGGCAGTCAAAGGTCGTTTTGGCTATAATTTAAAGCGTAGGATACAATTTTTACAGATGTATTCATTTGAATCGATATTAATTTTTCGAGATCTGAATCAGTTTTTTTAATGAGTAAATTAATTTCCATTAATATTTTTAACCGCAAATATAATTTTCGCGCCGTAGTTTTCCCTTTACTTAATTCATTATAATGTTGACAATAGTAGTAAGGAAGTTATCTGTTTAAAACTTTACATTTTCAGGTCCTTGTACTGCTTTTCTTGTTCATCTCTTTTGGACGAAGTTGGTAACAAAGTTTTGCTTGAGAAGCTTCTTAATTGCATAAACGTTGATATAATGTAATTCTTTATTCATTGTACAATCTACTTAGTCAATCTCATTGGCTTATGAGGTTAATTTGCTCCTCTTTAGTAACTGAAGAACATTTGTATGATAGTTGTTCTTTGGTTGGTTGTATAATACATAATTTTTTAGGAATTATTCCTGTTCTTTTCTCTTGCAAATTCTTTTGAGTTTATTACCTGTTGTCTTTTTTCTAATTCATTTTATCACTGTTGTTATTTTGTTTGCAATAAAAATGCATAAATTTTTTCTAACACCAAGAAAATAATCTTTTTATGGTTAAAAAAACCCTTCTATTTTGGCATCATTGCTGTTGACACCGAACTTGCCTTTATAATTAATGCGTACGGAAAGGAAAGTTCACGCAATGCTTATTTTGAAATGGTATAAAATTATCTTGATTGAGCCGTTTTGATTTTTTTTCGTTAAAAAGTATTTTAAGTGTCGTACAAATTGCTTTAATAGTATGCGGCTTGTCAGCAGCATTCATAACTTCTTAGAAAAGAGGATCGGGATAAGATTGAGAGTGACTGATTGGGGATGACACATTATTGTATTTGATTTTCTGTGATTTAACAGGCGCGCTGTATTCAGTAATTTTTAACAATTGCAGAGTCTGAAAATTGATTGCTATTAATCTTCTAATTGCCAAGGCCAATACCTTTTTTCTACTAAACGTAGTTTGAGACGGGAGTGATCTTTCTGTCGATCGGCATAAATTCGTTAATATGGATATCGGTCCTGCGAAACGGCAACGATTTCTTTTTCCTCGAATCTGTAGACTAACTACTACCTTTTCAAATGTATTAATTGCATGCTCCACTAGATGTTTGAAAAGTTGCTGTTTGGAATTGTGTATGCCGTCATTGCTCGTGATATCAGTTATATTTTTCGCTTTGCCTGCATAAGTTATAAAAATGATGTTGATCTAAATTTATGAGCTCTTAGCGTCTTTAGCCAACATATTCACTTTCACTGCGTATTTATTGTTTTTCGTATGGTCGGTGAAAGACATGTTTATAGTGCTTAGATGTGTGAAGGATGGGATGACCTACCAACCGAATTGCTTCTTATGATTATGTCTCATGTGGAAGCAAAGGAACTAGCAAGACTTATTAATGTCAATTATCACTGGAAATGTGTTGGGGAAGATGATTCACTGTGGAAGAATCTATTTTTTAGAGATTATACTCGAAGTAGGAAAACTTATATAAAGGTGATTTTCATGTTCAACTTTTTATTTACTGCTAGCATAAGAAGCACTTTGTTACACTACTTATGAACAGGAAACGCTTCACTATTATTTTCTCTGCAACATTCTATTACTTCGAGGGCATTCATTAGCGTTTTATAGGTTTGTAAACGTTGGATCGATGAGTACAAACTATTAAAATTTGAATCACCAGTAGCTCTTACCGAAAGTTTAAGAGACTGTTCTAATGGCTTATCACATGTTGCCTTTTCTAGTGATGGTCAATTTTTCTGTACTACAGCTAATGATGCCTCTTTTAAGGTATATTTTGCGACATCCTTTTTTGACATGGAATCTTTACAAAAATGTTAGATTTAGTCGCAATTAGTTTTAGAAACCCTAAGATTATCAAGTAAATGCTTGGAAATCGTATATTTCATTTTAAATCACTCTTTTTAGTAAAATCCTTATTCATATGGTCCATTTAAGTGAATTAATTTTTGTGGATTTGTTCTGTAATTTATGCTGTCGGCAATACTGTATTCAGATTTGGACAGCAACAAGTCCCGTATATTTGTTAGACGAAAGGTATCTAGACAATAGTCTTGGCTGGGAGCGTGCTCTCAGTTGTCAGTTCAGTACTGATAATAAACGACTTCTTGTAACTGGTGTGAAATTCGGTGGTAGTGGAGAAATCGCAATGTACTCAATTGATGGTAGTTTTCAAGTTATTTGCTTATATTCTAAAAAGATAATGTTCCAGCATATTTGATATTAAATATTGCCTACTTTATAATTTATGAAAATTTAATAAAGGGAGGTCTTACTTGATGTAAAGCTGTGCCAGTTTGATAAGTAACCTTATGTTTTCTTCACTTCAGATTTGGAATAAAATACTAAGTGTCTTTTTTGCAGAAGAGAGCTTATCAATACATTACTTATGTCGTGTACCAAACAATCCACTTGAAGTGGGAGCTTGCTGGTACAATAGCTCATATATATTTAGTGGTGATTTACATCTTTTTAACCGCGAGTATGATTTTTCTTTTGATAATGAATCTGAAAAATAATGTAGTTTGAATCTCTATACGGATGATTATTTATAGTAATAGCAATTTTGTTGCATTTAATTATTTTTAAACCATTTGAGCAATGATTACCGTAAGTACAATTGAGTATATATTATTTCAGCACCATCGTCGGTTCATCAGTGTCACAAATTTGGATTTGTTCGTCTTTATCACCCGATGAAGTTGGTGACGAATCTGTTATGAGTAATGTTTTTCGGTAAAGGTTTTGTACTGCCATCATTTTAAGGTGTAAAATTCTTTTTTTATTTTAGTTTTTCTTACTGTAAACAGTTGTACCATCACTTGCTTCAGAATTTTAAATAGAAACGGAGCATACTGTCAAATGATTACGTTGAGTCAATTTGTTCCATCTAGACTTCGAGGCGTCGTACTTCTTGCTGCAAAGGCTGCTGTTGAAAAGAAAGTATGACTCTGAGTAATATTTATTTCCGTTGGTTATTCGAAACATCGTAGCTTTATTTGCATCTTTTCAAGTATTATAATTTAAAAAGACGATGTATTGAATAAGATATAGACTTGTTGATTTTTTACTGCACTCTTTTAAAAACATTTCCAATGGAAGTGTGTAATTTTTTCTAATTTCAGTTTTTCTTTGGTGGTCAGTATCGTAGGATATTGGAAGACCATTCTCGAAAACATAACTGATTTTTACTAGCCTGAAATCAAATAAGAAAACTATCGGCTTTTACTTATTGTCCATATTAACATGAAGTAAAATTGGGCTAATCCATTTTCAGACATTGGCTTCTAAAGCAAATGAACTCGTTAGCCAAGAACTGAGTGAAAGTGAGAAAAGGAACGAAATGAAGAAGAGAATTGAAGAAATTAGTGCTGATTGGGAAACTAAATGCTCAAGTTGCAAAAGTTGGCACCTTGTGAATGATCATGTTGAAATTTATGATAATTCCTCTGAATATATTATGTGTTGTTCATGTTTTTGCCATGAAAATGATCATCGCTTATTAATTTATGCAACCGGAGATAGTGAGTACGCGCTACCACACTGCGTCGCATTCAAAATTGTTGATGGAAATATGGTAAGGAATTTTATTTTTGGTGAAAATGATAAAATTTTAAGCTGTTGATAAGTTATCAACTTACTCATTGTAATTCGTGAAGCTGTTATCATAATTTTTATCATATTGTAACTGGATTAATATTGATAATTTTTTTGTGATTTCAACCAAAAGCAGTTCCGTATCATTTCTTAGTGATACAGTGAAAATGTAGTGATTCAAGATTCTTGGTAAAGTGACTTCAAACCAGACTTCGCCAATTTCTCTAATTCTCTGCAAAAATATTACATTAGGAACAAATTCATCTATCTATATGTAATTCAAAATTATTGTGGTGCTCCCTGTAGAAAACACTTTTGACAGCATTACAAGTTTTTATAACTTGCATTATTTCTTTTCATTTAGCTCACTTTTGAGGAAAACAGCTCAAAGCTTCATCTGTCCTGTCTAGATTTAATTGATTGTAGATTGAATAAATATCAATACAATCAAAATAGGAATAAAGTTTTGTAGATCGCACAAAAAATAAATCCGGAAGTGAATTTTCAATCGAAAGAACAAAGTAGGTCAGTGTTTCTGTTTGAAGTTCGCTACTTCTTAGTGCTGAGAGAATTTTGCTTCGGAGAAAAAATAAGTTACGTGTGTCATTAATAATTTTTGGATCATTTTCTCAGAGCCCCAATCTCTTGCAGAATTTTTCGTTTCATTTTATAAATTTATAGACTTGTTCTTAATGAAATGTGAAGTTTTTATGCTTTTTAAGTGTAAACTCATAAAATTTCTGGAATTTGAGACTATTTTATAGAGCGAAGTTACACTTCTTGAGTTGTGAAATCTTTCATTCTTTTTCAGGTCATCAGATTGTCATAATCAGAACTTAGAATTCGAAGTTGCGCAACTGAGGGCAATAATGTCAATGGTTGACCTCCCAGATCACGTGATAGATGTGAAAGCTCATATTATGGGCATGACATTGAGTTTAGATCAAAAGCAAGTCCCTTTGTCTCAGTAGTTTCAATTTTCCATCTCATAATTAAATCCATTTTTATAATGTCTTTTGACTCGCTCTCTTCTTTACATTTTAATCTGAAATTACAATGAGCTAATATTACTATCACTCGCTGCCTGCTAATTTTCAGATATTTATACGTAAATGTTACACACGACAGTTACCCTCGCAGTTCGCAGTATGCGTATCTGGTGAGTTTTTATAACTCTATTGCTTTGGTATTAGTGTAATTTTTGTATGTTGCTGACTATATAAATAAGATGTATAACATTGTTCTTGATGCAGGAAATTTACGGTAAAATTAGGATGATATTCACATTGTGATATCTCGAATTCATCCCTGTTGTAACTGAGTGCATTATCTTTAGTTAGAATTAGGGATTAGTATTATAGAGAGATTACATGATCTTCGGAAAGAAAAAGTAAACATTGGAATTGGTGAAACGTAAAAATTCAGTAACTCTTAGCTTCTATAACTTAATCTCATCATTTAGAAGTTAGAAAATCCACTATGTAGAAACTCTTTGAGGGTGAAGTTTGTGTTATCAATCTATCTACAATGACATTCGAGAAATCATATTTTGGTCATCACGCTTCTAGAGTTGAACGGTTCAACTGTTCTGTTGGTGGACACTTTGTGGCAAGGTGATTTTTTTCCAGAATGTCTCTGAGTTCTGATTGTTTATTTTTGACGAGTTCTCTGTTCTCTGAATACTTTTTGGGAATAAGTTTAAGTACTGCAAAGTTTGCCAGATGAAACCAGTTTTCATTATCCTCGAGCTCAAGATTACGAACTGTCGAATGTTAGTAAATTTTCCCTAAATAATTTGTTCAAAAGTTGCCAAGGCTTTTTAGATTATTTAGATGTATGGAGTCAATAAATAATTACGCTTCTTCCGATTCTAAAGCATGAGAATTCAATTTTTGATGTCAGTGAATCATACCAGATTTACAGTACTTCATACAGCAGCAACTGTTTCATGAAATGCTTTAATTTTAAAGCATGTACGACCGCAGCATCGTGATAAAGATATTAATACCAATCGTAGTTATGGATATCTTGTCAATATGTTTGATGCAAATATTTCCTTATATATCATTTTGTAGTGCGTCACTTGACGGTGGAAGAATTTGGTCGCGTGAATATCACTGCGTTATAGGAGAGTTGCCACATGCTGGCGGTGCTGCAGCTGTCGCACTAAATCCAGTAAACGGTAGCATGGCAGTATCAGTCGGTAAAACTGATGGTAAAATTAAGATATGGCGGAGTAAAAAGTCCATAGTTACTTATGAAGTGCCTAACGACTTTATGTGAAACCAATAGTAATGTATGATGCCATATAAGATAAACGTACACTGTTTAACTGTGCGCCGAAATATATATATTTTGTTTGATATTATTTCTCGTGATTTTGTACAAATAGTCTGTGTGTGTGCGGTGTTGTAAGTATTTTCATGAAGTAATAAACACTCAGTACAGTACATGTTTTTTAAAACACATAGTTTGGTTTAGCAGCGTGAAATGTGTTAGTAGCATTCGTATAAATGATTGCTCTTGATACATCAGAAAAGAACTGAGAAACAAGTATATGGGCAGAGAAAATTGTGAAATAGACTAACGAAACTAATTAAGGTAGGAAGTGAGCAGTTGAGGGCCTGAATATTTATAGACTGATTTATTTGACAGTTGCTGTAAGTGTCGGTTTGAAGAAGAGAAGTCACCGATGTTTGTCATAAGTAACGGCCTTGGTCGAGATGAGATGCAGAAATGTCAAGATATCAGAGAGACAAAAGAAATGCATGATGAGCAGATTTACAAGAGGTCAAATACGATTATTCATTTCTGACTTATCACCGCAATTCACTTACTTACATGTCATATGTCACATTAGATAGGTCTTTGAGAGAGTGAACGAAATGCACTGTAATGAATAATACCAGTATCTGAAGCACAAGAATTCTTTGTACAAACAATAGACAGCGTTGCATGGAATCGCAAATGCAATGCTTCGGTGTTAAAAAAGTAGGTAGAGCTGTGATTTCTATTTGAATAACAGACAATCATGAAAGTTCGTTCAGTAGTAAACACTGGATTTCTTCAAAAGCGATATTTGTGAAAGGATTCTGACTTGATCTCCGGTATCATTCACGAGATTTACTAGGAGAAAGACGGAAAAGTAGTCAATTGCAAGCAAAGCAATATAATGCTTGCTGCGAATTGGAACAAATAATGACAAGAAATATGTTGATGTACGATGCACCACCAGATTACCTTCTGCTTCTGCTTGTAGAAAAGATGACGAAACGGTTGTTAGCAGTGAGACCTTGTTTAAACCATTCGGACAGTGCTTTGAAATGCAAATATGACAGAAAAGATTTCTGGAATCATTTCAGATATCAGAAATTACAAGGAGTTTGATAGATAGATAGGAAGAGCAAATGTCATGATATTCTTCATGGCAACAATAACTTCCGTTAAGCAATCGCTGTTTACGTGTGCACTTGCTATGCAGCAAATCCATTCCATGTTGTTTTTTAACTTCAAAGAATGTAAGCAAACACAGAAAGAAGTGAGCAACCTGACTCGGAAGACAGAACAAATTTAGTCAACAGCAGTAGCATAATCAAAAGCCAGCCAGCCAGCCACATGCAGCAACAGATGTTATCAAATGAAGACGAGGGTGTTGCAGTGATAAGAGTTAGTGCTGATGCCAGAAAAAGAATACAGATTAAGTGTAAAAAATAATACTCACGAGTAAGTATGGAATCCGCTTGTTCCATTAGTTTCAGGCATTTTTGGGAGTGGAAAGTAACATCGGACAAATATTTGCAACACTGAAAAGAGGAAACGAAGTATGGAAATGAGACAAATTTGCAAGTGAGCACATGCATGCATGCCTTCCCTAGCACGAGCTTCTTCCTCGTCCAGCTAATCATCAGACAAATCCCTTTCTAAGACACATTAATTTGCATTAGACAGAAGATACAAAACGCAGTTGCTGGAAGAGACTTGAAAGGCTTACATTCTGGAATGGCCCTGTTTCGATTCCAGATTTTTCCAAAATTTTAATATTATATGATGAAAGTTGAAGAACATTCCATCGCGAGTACCTTCTACTTGGTGTTTCCCTCTCCAAGAATGGAAATTGAATGATTTTGTTACTTAACGCTAGAAATAAACTCATGCAAAATGACGGCACTTCATGTTCACATCCGAAACTGCGTACTTATAATCGCATAATCATTGATTGACCTCCCTGCAAATTAGTCACGTATTTGCTTAAATTACTAAAAATAGTGATATTTTTCGTTAGTTAATTAAAGAAACTGTTACTTGCAAAGTCTCCTTCCAAAATACAATTACTTCGTCAAATTAATGAATTATTTCCTGCCTTACTATACTATTTACCAGCAATCTGCAAATTGTCTCTTATATCTAGCACTGCATTAGTCACTTTTCAAATTCAATCGTTACTTGCAATATTTTCACAATTACATATTTTTTGAATCAATTTATGCAATGCCTTACCTAATCAGGTCACAAACCCGCCTTAACATCTAACATCGAGTAAATAAAGCTAGCCGTCTCATGAGGAAGTCACTGTCACATATGTTATTTAGCGAAGCATTTCTCTACATGCAAAGTATCATTTAGATGACTGAATAATACCAAATTCAATTATGCGCAATCATTCTCATGCAAATCGTTCATTGCTGAAGTGAAAGTGCAGCGACTGCTTTTTCTACACTTCTTCAAAGCGCAGCGTATACTTTATCTGCCTGGAACGCTTCTATCAACATGAAACATAACATTTAACTGATAACATCAGCATGGAAAGAGTGTAATCACTCCTGCTCAAGATTTAGCTACTTTCAACTTAAACCACTCTATCATAAATTATTTAGTTGTGCTAATTGAGAACTCTACATTTTTACTTTCAATTTTAACCGCCATTTTCAAATATTTGCGTCCCAAAGCAGAATAACACACAAAAGAACAGAGAGCTTCAGAATCTATGAACTTTGAACTCAAATTAGGCAAGCAATACTTTCCAATTATTTATTACGAAAAATGCCGCATTTAGAACTGTATACAAAGGATGAGTGCTAAGACCAGCCAGCACATGTATTTTTTGCTAATTATATCACTAATACGTTACTGTCCGAATAAATGTTGAAAATCCGATAAGTGAATCTAAGAAAATCTGAGACTATCGGCTGATAGAAGACATACTTGAGTGAAAACTTTACAACTTCATATGCTATCAAAATACAGAAGTGCGAAAGCACTTGAGACTTGAAACGCCCATCGTATTAGTTGTTCAAAAATACTGTGGCTGTACCTTCCTGTGCAACACAAAGATTAAGTACAATAGCAACTATTCCCAAATCCCCCGAGAGTTCCCAGAGGGCATTTCACGGAACGCTCCTCCTCATTAGCTGTGCTTTCTGGGGGTGGGGCACTGCCCTTCGTTGTGTCTGCCAACTGATTCGTCCAGATCAAAAACAGAAGCGAAAAAAATCTGACATTCCCTTGGAATCATCCGCATGTGTACATATTTAAGTAACTACTTAACTTGTTGCCATTACTACAAATTGCAATTCACTGTAAAAAGAAAATCAAAAATCATAGCAATAAACCAAATATTACCATTTTTACCACAGTTCATACTGATAATTACTGTATACATTTTTAGCACTATTTCACGTGGTTTTATGAAACGGTCCCTGTAAGATTTGTTATATGAGGCGGAGTCAACAAACCTGATGCTCCCTCGGAGTCATCCGCTTGAACCTTGAGTCATTAAATTCGAATTTGCTAATTTTTACCCTTGTCAAAATCAAATTTTCAACCACATTTGTTAATTAATTGCTTTTTTAATTACAAGGGTATAGAATTTCACAAAATATGCAAGTGACAAGTGGCATAATTGGTGACGACTTGTTGGCACTATTTCTTGTTTGCTCGCTTCTTATACGCTCCCTCAAATGATTGTTGTATGAATCTCTGCGAGCGCATTTACACACATCCATCTATCTCATTCGTCCTTCTGGCATAGCACTTGGCAGGTTGGGTCGAGTAGATAAGGTTAGGTTCTGGCATGTCCATTCTCATCTCTTTGCTCGTATTGTGATTATCTCGCGAGGTGCGTATGCTTGTTGTGTTTTCCCATTTCAGTTACTGAACTTAGAAGCAGTTGAAGGTATTTTGTATTTATTTAATTCGCTTAGATTCTTACAGTTTATGCGTGTTCAAAAAGACGATGTGTGTGTCGTTTAACTTCATGTTTGTGTGCAATGTGTAATTTACCACTTTGCAGTCAAGTTATTTTCATCGCAAGTGTCATATTTAAGGGTTGTTCCCGTAACTTTTCAAATTCACTATTTAATATCGGTAGTAAACAATAGGTAAATAATTCTTATCGTTAATGATGCGTGTTGTTTGTGTAATTTGTACTCTACCTATGTTTTTCACATGTCGCATGTTTATTTCCGCGTGACAATCCTTTCATGTCTGCTTTAGACTGCAGGTTTAGTAACTGCTATTCGCTTTTTATTATCATGGCTAGTCTTTACGTAACTTAACGTCAGTTACTATTGCATTGTTGTAAGTTTCACACATTATTTCTGAGACGTATATTTGATCTATATCTAAGCAAATTTCTGGCCAGATTACTTGAATCATTGTTTCAAACTGCCTTTGGTCTTCGCTAGAACTATTTGCACTCCTAGCACAAAATAACAGCAGTAGTCCTTACAAACACAGTGCGACTTAATCTTTCAAGCGTTGGCACTACTTTTTAGGTCTTTTGTAATGAAGTGGAGGTTACAGGGAAGAGCTTTAAGAGATGACCCTGCTGACTCGCATTGGCGACTCGCCAAAAAGGCGGGTAAAAGTGAACCCTCTGTCTTACTCATGCAATCGTTTGGGGGCGTGGTGGATGAGTTATTCAACTTTACACATGGCAGTTGTTAACGTTATTGATGCTTGTAGATGTTTGTTTTTCTTGTTAAACTCTCCAATTACATGTTTATTTAGTTGATTTGCTTGTGCTCGGCGAGTTCCCTATCTGCAGCTGTTAAGAAGGAAATTATTAACTGGTCATCGAAATGGCAGAAAATAAAGATGAGCTTGTCCAGCGTGCTAAACTAGCCGAACAGGTATAAGTTTCTCAATTTTTGTGAAAAGGAAGCAGAAATCAGAGATGATGATTTAGTGAAGTAGAACTGGTAAGGAATTTTTAGGCTGAGCGATATGACGACATGGCGCAAAGCATGAAGCGTGTGACCGAGTTGGGTGCTGAACTGTCGAACGAAGAACGTAATCTTCTTTCTGTCGCGTATAAGGTAATTTGTTGTTTTATCTCACAAATTGTAAGCTGCATACATTTGCAAAAGCTGACGAATACCGCGTGTTAAGAGGTTGTGCAGCAGAGAATACGGAGTCGGTCACGTCTTGCAAGAGGAATGGGAAGGGGAATGGTAGTTAGCGATAATTGATTGGAAGGTAGGGACACAGATAGCAACCACATCGATTATCCATTCCTTCTGACTTGCGCGCTACATTTTCCATCGTAACTCTGGACCCTCTCATTCTACACTTTAGCTTGTCATGATAGTAATGCTCTTGCGTAGCGTCGCGTTGCGCGTATCCTGTGCATGCGAAGCTTATGAAATTGATGTTCTAAAAGGGAAAAGCAGTGCCCTAAAATCGATGTCTAAAGATAAAGTATATTGTATTCACTTTTAGAATGTTGTTGGGGCCCGGCGTTCTTCCTGGAGAGTTATCTCATCTATCGAGCAGAAAACAGAGGGCTCGGAAAAAAAGCAGCAAATGGCTAAAGAATACCGAGAAAAGGTTGAGAAGGAGCTGCGCGATATTTGCCAGGACGTCCTTGTAAGCCTAGTAGTATTTCTAGAGCATTGGGCCTACAATCGAAAATCGGTTTCTGTTTTTCTACTATCACTATATCGTCTTGATAACAATTGTTCCAGAATCTTCTCGAAAAATACCTCATTCCTAAGGCTGGGAATCCGGAGTCTAAGGTGTTTTACTTGAAGATGAAGGGTGATTACTATCGATATTTGGCTGAAGTTGCAAGCGGGGATGATCGAAGTGGTAAGCACATATTTTCATGTTTTTTGATTTCAGCAGTTTTACATGTTTAATAGAACGTGTGGCAAATAACATTATTTAGCATCATTCCTGTACTTGCCGGCCATAAACTGATGCTTTAAAAGAATTCAAAAGTTCTTTATATAGTAGTAGATTGGGTATTTATTTATGTGATGTACTTCCACATCCCTGCTAAACGTTGAGCACTTAGATTTACAGAGTAAATACTATGAAGTGAGTTAAAAACAGTAGATAATTAAGATATTATGGCCTAATGCAATGCTTTCTTGGGTGATCTACTGCCTTCGAAATCAAGATTTGGCAGAGTGTGGATGCTTGATTGATATTAATTGCATAGTCTGAGAATGGGGGGAGACTTGAAAGCGTTTGAGTTACTGTTGACTGGAAGTTCTGTACTCTATTTAGTGGTAGTGGAGAAGTCTCAGCAGTCTTACCAGGAAGCGTTCGATATTGCGAAGGACAAAATGCAGCCCACACATCCGATTCGGCTTGGGCTTGCACTCAATTTCTCCGTATTCTACTACGAAATACTGAATGCGCCAGACAAAGCTTGTCAACTTGCTAAACAGGTGCGTGGAGATCATTTAGTATTTTTTTTACACGAATGGTTGGCTAATTTTTGTTTCAGCGGTGGCGGATGCGGGTCAAAAAGCCTATTCGGAGGCACTTGAGATTGCCAAAGCACAACTTTCAACTACCCATCCAGTTCGTTTGGGACTCGCTCTAAATTATAGTGTATTCTTCTACGAGATTTCGTCGAGCCCAGATCGTGCATGTCAACTCGCCAAACAGGTGGGCCGGATCCTGTAAAGTGCCGGTCGGTAAAAGCGGCCGGCAAGCTATTGAATATTTCGATTTGTGGTTCGGCCAACGCTTGACAGTACTTGCTGTTATTTCCTTAGGCTACTAATGTCACATTATTTTGCATGAACAATGACGACCTTTCTGCCACCCTAATTTACGTAATCACTGAAGTTAAGCAAGCCTTTGTTCACGTGAGGCATGAAGTTCTAACATTTCCCATTCCTGATTGGTAATTACTAAATGAGGAAGAGTAATCGCAGCGATAGAATTGTCTTTGGTACTAGGCTTGTTCCACCGACTTAGTTCAATATTTCAGGTAAGTATGAAAAAGTCGAAAGTGCTTTAACCTGTTAAGCTTTTCGGTTAATCGCTTCTGCTTTTGGTAGTGCATGTCATGTAGATTAACGTGGAGTTTAGATTGAGATAACTAACTAGAACCTCGAAATTTAAGTCTTATTGTGATCACCAATGTACGACCATTTTACTTAAGTACGTTTATTATTGTGGGTTGAATATAATCTTCTTCCCTTCTCCTGCTTATCAAATGAGGGATAAATATCATTGTGACGCTGGAGTCCTTTTTTTAAAGTGCTTACAATTCGGGATTGTTGTGCTCGCAAGTTACACTGTGCATATTAAATATTAAGCCCTATTAGGTTTGCTATATCATTAGATTTGATAACTTCCTTGTGTTGTATAAGTTCTAGAAAATTTTCCTCATAAATGGGCTCTAGTAATTTTGTTCATCATACGTGATATCAGTTGGTGAGCTCTTCGTTATCCTGCACAATCTTTTGGAAAATTGTTATCTTTGCATGCGTCTGCTCTTTCTCTTTGCATGTGTCTGCTCTTTCAAATCTGTTATGATTCTATAACAAGCTTTATTACTGCATTGCTAGTTGTAAGTACGTTGATTGAGCTTGCTGAGTTTAGGAAGCAATATCACTCATGTAATCAGTTCGTACATCTTAGTTGCATTTGGCATCGTTATTTCCACTGTTGTATCGATTAATGGATGGTTCTGGTGGATTAGGTGCTATGTCTGTAAATATTAGAGTCAAATGTTCTTAAATTTATTCATGAAGTGATATGAGTATTGAACATGGTGATTTTTCCGAACAGTTTTGTCGTACTTACCTTTGCTTGATTGCTATTGATTCGCATTTGATCAGAATCATGCAGTGAATTGTATGATTATTTTTGCATTTATATCGTGGCTTTATTTATTATATCCTATTCTTGGTCCTGTTTTACATTTGGTTGTTGCCTTTTTCTGACTATTACATGATTGAAAGGGACGAAGCTGCTCTTTTCCTTTATTCAGACAAAGATTTTGAACTAATGTCTTGAAGTTCTGTACATTTCAGTCTTTTATATTTTTGATAACACCATTTACATTGGTCCGCATTTAATGGCATTGCTTTCAGGCGTTTGATGATGCGATTGCGGAGTTGGACACCTTGAATGAAGATTCTTACAAGGACAGCACCTTGATCATGCAGCTTCTTCGTGATAACCTGACACTATGGACATCTGACACTGGTGCCGACGATCAGGAAGGAGGCGAGCAGACGGGTGAAACAGGTGGTAACTGAAGAATGAAGAAGAAAGATTGATTTGGATAGCTTAAGGTCATGGTCTTATGTTGAAGCAGTTTTTGTGGTTTTCTTTTTTTTTGTAATTTCATAAATGATTGATTTTATAAGCAACGTTCCAATTGTCTCTTTATTTAAGTCATTCTCCATATGTATTGAAGTCTTAAAAACGTAAGTCATTGTGCAGGTAACGATATTTATAGCGACTGGTTCAAATATAACAATTTTAACTTGAGTGTATGACATGCGGCTTGTATTTTTATGTGCTTTGTACGTGATGGTATTTCTGTTAAATTTAAAAATTATAGTAGTTGAAGACCAATGTGGCTGCCTGCCTATTCCGTTCGTAACAGTTTTTCTTGTCTGTTCCTATTTATCACTCAGATAAATCAACCAGTCTTTAGTGGCTTCATATTTAAGCTTATGTCTTGCTCTTACCTGGATGTTTATGTAGCTTAGTTATCTCGTGCATTTACTGATTGATGATGTTAAATATTAGCTTGTACAGTGCGGAGATTAGTTTCACCCTTGATGGAGTTTTCGCTTGAGAACTGAGGTCGTGTTTCGTGTTGTTTGCTTGACTGCAGGAACAAGCACCTGATTTTGTTAATCTTGTAGCTTATTGCTAGGAGGACGCGTTGGTGCTTCTAAATGCCAAATATCATGGGGTGTGGGTCATAGGGGTAGGTGGATAATATACTAATTCTTTACATGCTCCAGGATGAGTATATTTACTGTTTAAAGATGTGTTGAGGTAATTATTAACAAATTGCTGTCAAATCGTTCTATATCGAGCTGTTTGAAAGTGATTGAGAATGGTTGCCTCATTTCAAGCTGTGTGATCTCAGCCGAGATCACCATTAAAGAGTATCTTTTCTTGGCTAGATTCTCTTCTTAGTTAATTTTGCTTGTAAGCCTCATAAAGATATCTTTAAATTTCGTAATTATTTGTTCCAGTTAAATTTGTTCAAATGCATCGGTTCCCGATAAAATATTTTGTTTGTTGGTCTTCGTCACAGTATGACATTTTGTCTTGTATTCACAGAATTCGGAGTGATTGGCCTTATTTTGAAACCGTAGGATAGTTAGCAAGTCGTTATGAAATCAAAGGTTGGGAGTGCCAGGAAGATTGTGGTGTTACCTGTTGCGGTACTCTAGAGTCATGGTTATCCAAAAGGATACGGGGAGGTGTATTTGATGTGTGGCAGGTTTAGAGTGGATAGCTAATCTCTGTGCTCGAAGCACAATTGTATGAGCTGTCGAAGTTGAGTCGGCGTTATTGGTTTATTGGTGCGAATTGAACTTTGTACCAGGCAATACAAGGCATTTATTTAGGTATTGTTGTAACTACCTTTAAAGTGAAGTTAAGACCCTATGCGGAAAATAAGTGGCTGCCATGTAAGTGGAGCATGGAAGATTAATTTGAGTTACCATCTGAAGGAGGTCATTGTATTGAACAAGTTTCGGATGCGCTGACAACTGTGTCGTATTTTAGGTGTGCTTAGCAATTTATTTTGGTGATGTTGATCGTCGAGGCAGTTGAAGTTTTAGATCTTGAATGATTTCTTGTTTTCGTGTATACACTTTTGGTTGGTGTAATTTTTGGTTTAGAGAATTCGAGTTAGGTCCCATTAACTGATTATTGGAGTTTTTAATTGGTGACTGGAATTTGTTTAGAAGATTGAAGTCAGAAAAGTGACAATAATATACAGGAAGTTGAAATCTTGGATAATTTGAATGACGGAATTTATACTGGCTATTCTAAATAGCCTCTTGAGGATTTTAGTCGTGCTCTTAATTAGTAATTTTTACTTCCTTTTTAGTTTTTGGTTGCAAGAAAGTCTCGAATTGGTTTAGTATAGAAATTATCTCTGTGGTGTAAAGAGAGATTATCATTTTGAATTATGTATTTTTGCAAGAAGAATATGGATATTTTTGCTGATTGTACTTTTAGTATTTTATTTGGTTTATTACAAATTCAGAATAATTGTTAGTGCTGGTCGGGAAGCAGTTAACACGCTCTTCGTGATTTCAATTTTTGTTGTTGGTGTGGGGTCAAATTGGTGTCATCGAAACTTCACATCCATCGGTTTTATTAGTATTTCTATATTTGTTACCAGATACTAATCATTGGGAAAAGATCTTGTCTGATGATTGTGATTAAATTCACATATATTAAAGCATGATATGTTTGTAGCATAGTGCTTTTTTAGATGTAGGTCATGAGAATAGTGTGTTCTGTTCATAAACTTCAAGTTCATTATTTTATGTACTGTCCAGTGGGATTGGCAGTTGTTATATATAATAGCCAGTGTACTTTTTTGGTCGTTGAAGTTGAGTTTCTAGATTACATTGCATTTACGATTTCGCATTTTTTACTAAAAATTTGTACTAAGTTTTGAACATTTTTTGTAACTGAACTGTTACTTTGCTGCAGCTGAGAGAGGATTGAGTAACAGTGCCGATGATTCTAACATGTTGTCGTTACCGCTGGCTCCCGCAGTCGAGTCATCATTACTTATGTGGCCACACATAATTATTGCTGTAAGATTAATTTTCCACATATTCTAACCATATTCAGCAGTAATACATGAATATTTCTAGCATTGCTTTCACAAAACATTTGCGGCAGTGATTTGCGTTATTTTCAGTGAGGGCTACTTTCGTTGAGAGTGGACAGTTTCAGCTGCTTTCTGTTCTGTTAATTGTTTTCTGTTAGTGGAGTGTTCGTTCATTTTCATTTCTGAATGAATGGAAAGCAGAAAATTTTTGACAAACATTTAAAATATCTCATATAAGTCATGAACTAGTTATCTTTTTGCACTCCAAAATAAGTGCTACATTTTTTAGTTTTTCTCGGTTAGCACAATGGCTTCATTGTTGACGCTGTGTGTATCAACGCACTGTTGCCGGAATACTAAAAAGTGAGCTATTTTATATTTTTGAAGTATTTATTGGAGTACATAATAGTGCAAATGTACCGACATTATTAATCAGTCTTTATTTAACGCCTTCGTTTCATTCTCGTTGAAAAAGTGTTGCGCAGAATGAATGTTTTAACGAATGTCTGGCTAGCGTTCCTGAGTTCTGGCTGGTTGTGTAAGCACTTTTTATCATATTTGCTATTTCTAGTGTTGTGCTTTCTCATATGAAATTATGATTAACTTGACGATTGTTAGTTTTGAGATATATAAATAATGTTAATTACAGGTTATAAATTATTGCCGTATTGTGCAGTGTTCGTTATATAGAAAGATAATAAACATTTTAGTCATGTAAAGACTACTCATAGAATTTTGGTGGTTTTTATTTTATTTCCAATTAACTAATTATTTTCTGTTGAACTAAATCCTAGTTAATATTTCACTTCTTTTCAGCTTCATCTTACTTTCCATTTATGAGATAATTTAGAAATGAAAATCCATATGGTGAAATTATTGGTACTTCAACTGCTGATGCTCCTATTCCAATGATTGTCTCCAGAAATAAATCTAATGGATCACGACCAAATCGTTCCAGTCGTCTTTCTTGTCCTAATTTGGTGCACTTTTTAGTTTATTATTCTTAAAAAAGTAATGTATAAACAATTATGTAAAATCAGTTGTAAAATACAGCTTGAATTAGAAAACTTTCTGATTATGCACTGTTCATGAATAACTCCTTATGTTACTCAGAGTCCTCACGAGCGGTCCACCCATCGTCTTTCTGCTCCACTTCCTCAATCTGCAGTATCCATGAATCGCGCCTTGCCAAAGTGAGTTTTTCGTTTATACGATGATTGATTTGTTTTAAAACTAGTCATATAATGATGAACTATTTTTACTGATTTTAAAGAATAGTATTGACTCTTAAATATTTAAAACACATAGAAATAAAAATTTTCTAGCTACTTTTTTCGCTGATACTTTCCAAGTTGAAATATTTATTTAAGGCTACCGGAGTCATCAAGACGACTTGAGAATGAAAATGTAAGAGCTATATATTCAACAATCGATCGCTGTACGCTCATCAATAACAGGGATAATTTACTTTTGTATGGTGAAGGACCTGCAAATCCAACTTATGAATGCATTGATGCAGTTCCTTCGTATTCAAAAGTGCGAATCGTTAAAGATTACAGAAATAATTAACTTTTTTTAAAGTTTTTGCTCGTAAACAACTTGTAATAATTTTATTTAAAATTCTTTTGAATTATTAATTTCTTATTATTTGTGAATAGGCAATGTCTTTAGTTAGAAAATGGTGGTCGATCAACGAAACGATATGACTATCCTATGTTTGCTTTGAACAATTGTAAAGTAGTTACCGCTGATGATGTTCTCTATCAGAATGCTTCGCAGATTTATACCGGTGTTAGTGAAGATACTTACAGGTCTTGATATTCTATTTTTTAGTTTTGAATTTTTTTTGTCTTCAAGTTATAATAAGATCTTAGTTGTTTTATTTTTTTGCATGACATTGGTTATCTTCACTATCATTCCTAATAAACCCCAAAAAGGATTGAAAATCCTTCAACTCAATGAACAATTTCATTTTCATCATTTTCAGTTCAATAGCAGGCGGGGAAGCGAATTATGATGTTGGTTACAGTCATGTTAGTCAACCAACAAATACTTGTCTTACTAATTCGCAAACAACAAACCCCTCTCTCGATCATCTTTATACTCGAGTAAGCTCTATGAATTAACACTAAATATTTTCAAAAACAATTTATTTGAATGTGTTTGGAAATAATCATTTCGTATCTTTGTATATTCGTCAATTAAGAGTTTCTTGCATGTTCCGATTATTCATGTTGTATATCAAATGTAATGAAGTGTGAATCTCGCATTTAAAGAAGTTTGAATAACTTTAGATTCTCATCAGATCGTTTAATGATAAACGAATAATTTGTTTTGTTGAAGTTGAAATATATTATTCAGTGAAATGAATCATTGCAGCTGCATTATTTGCTGTTTCTTAAATTGTAACGAAGACAGCAAGCGGAATGCTGAATTATATGTTTCATGTGCAAAATTAACTATCTTGCCAGTGAAGTTTTATTTATAAAGCTATTATAAAGTGAATAATAGATTCGAAGAGGGCCATCAACGAATAGGGCTTCAAATCCATCAACTTCTCGACCGATGCCTTCGAATGATCCAACTTCTGAGTACATTTCAAGTGGAAGTGATAAAGTTCGTATTTATGGATAACCTTATTTTGATGGTAAAATTGTGTTTGGTTGCATCCATATCACTTATTTTTATTCCTAAATTATTTGACTCTAAGATTTAAGATAAAGGGAGTTAATCTTTTCATAATGTTCCAATTATATTTACATTTTGAGTTACTGGAAGTAACAAAATGAAAATATCTGCAACTTTTAACTTTTTCAATAAAGTTATACGAAAATACTATACAACATTTTTTTCTACCACATAGACAAGTCGAGAACCGTCTTATCGCTATATAACAGTTCGCGAAAGTGTTGATGCCATTCGTCAACGCCTCTGTGAATTCAATAATACTTTGTCTCAAGATCATTCTGTTTTCGTTGAGGGGGACGGTTGTGAACGAGTTCGGGAACACTACTATTCATCAATCGGTGGTGATTACGAAACGGTTTTGTTGCTTTATTTATATCAAGTAGTAGAACATGTAAAGTTGATGGAATGTATAAGAATAGTATTAAAAAGGTATTGTAGACTTGTGAAATCTTGTTCATATCCTATTATTCTCCAACCAAATTATTTTAGTCCAACAAAAAAGTAGCATTCTCTTAATATAATCTAATATGTTTTGTTCTATTTGACAAATGAAGTTATTTAATTTTTTTATCGGTCCCATACATGGCATGGAGTTTTTATTCATGTTTAGGTTTAGTATTTTCCATTACCTTAAAAGAAAATCAACGTTAATTCCAGTTACAAGTCTCATCGGCACCTATCAACCAATCCGTTGTATATCCAAATATTCGTTCTACATCCAGCGCTCATGAAGGTTTACCGCGTTATGATTTCTCTAACTTTTTTTGCCATAATTTGGTATAAGCTTATTACTAGTGATAACTATTAGTTTGACTAGTTACTTCGGGAACGTAAGATATTTTATTTGCTGAAAGTAAGCGGTATATTCTGCATTCATTCTCAATACTTTTAGGAAGCTTCTTTCAATATGATTTAGCTAATAAAGTCCACTTTTTAGATCTGGAGTCTTTATTGGTATCTAATTCTGTTAGAATCTTTGAAAATTCAGTGCCAAATCCGCCCACCTCTCCAATACCGTTGCATACTGGCTATCCAAAAAGTAGTACTAGTATGCAATCATCTTTAAATTCTCAAAGTTTTGGTTAGTTTATGTTCAAAAAAGTTAAAGAAAGCTTCCGTATATTTTAATCAAAGTATTGCTCAGGGATGTGAAGCCAAAGAATATTAAATTATTCTAAATTTTAATTGATATTATTTCACTAAGCATGGAAAAACGGTGCGTATTTGATAAGATTGGAAAAGTTTTGAACGCAATTTATTTGAAGTAGTAAGGTCTGATGCCTTTAATTTGTAATATATCAATACATCTTTTAGATTGCCATTCTGAGATGTTTTGGAGTAAAAAATCTGTTAATAATTTGAACATATCTGATATTTAGGAAATTTTTTTAGTCTTTGAGATGAAAGGAACAACAAATAATGCTGTTAACTGCTATAGTACCGCTGAAAAAATTCGTAAATTGCGAACGAATTTTTTCGACGAGGAACTGCAGCCAGCACGAAATCTAGAAGAACCTTCATCTGTTGATATTCGCTTTGAGGAGATCTCTAGCACAAGTGGAACGTTAAAAAGGATTATTACATCTGCAACTGATGGAAAGTTTTCTCTTAAAGGCTCTACAGAAAATATCGAGAGCCAGTCATTAACAAATATTGCTGATATTAAGCGGTGTATATCAACTTTGAATTGGGAAAGTGCCTTTGTTCATGGTATACCAAAAAATACATCAGTTTCTGCAGATTTTGGATTAGGAGAAGTTGCTGAGCAAAGTATAGTAGGTGCTGGCAAAAAATCAAGACGTCACAGTTTCCATGAAGCAGTCATTGCCAAGATGACTCATTCTGATAACAGTGATAAGAATTTACAGCAAACTTCAACACTTTCGTTGAGTGAAATAAAACCTGGCACTTCTTCACCTGCTTTAATGGAACTGCTGCAAAATAAAGAGGAAAATGAAGCCTATAATATTCCCGAGAAATTCATCTCAATAAACAATGAAAAGAATAATTCTCACACTTCTGTGGTAGCTTTTTCAGTTTATTTTTCATGCAAAACTTTGATGCATATGAAGAGACTTTTCATCACTTCAATTTAATTTTCTAAATTAGTTTTGAATCGAGCTTATTAAGCAAATATCATAAACTCCTGGTTCATTTTACCTACAGTTTTAGCTGTAAAATATTTGGTTGCTGTATTTGAAATCTTGCGTCCTATTCCAGTAGCGACATTTTTAACCATGAACGATTCTTTAAAAATTTTTTAAATCCTTGGATTGCATCTTAATTTATTTACTTGCAAACAATTTTATTCGTAAGAAATAATCATTGAATTTTTGGTTCTCACAAGAACTGTTCATCTGCGTAGATGTTTTGTGAGATAAAATCTTTACAGGTATCTCTGGAAATCTCTTTAAATGATACTAGTGACAAATTGAAAAGAGAATTATGTTCCCCTCAAGATACATTTGGATTAGCATGCATAGAGAATGGTATCGTAGGTAATGTTTATGATTCTAATTTAATCAGTTAGAACAATTCTAGTTTACGAAAAAATGAACTTTTTATTCATTAATAAATCTCATCTACTGATTTACACAGGTAGGCCTGTCAGTCAAGACAAGTAATCTCTCTTGGTTTGCTATATGAAGCATTCGACAGAGATAGTTGGTTATACTGGCGATACATGTTTTCTGATTAATATTCACCTAATTTTGTCGTAACATATGAATCGTGCATTGTTCAAATATTTTAAAATTCAAATTTTGAAGTACTGCACCGTCTGTATTGTTGTAATAATGGTTTTTTGATTTAGGTCATTCAGAGAAAAAATGTTGTATAGTTGATTTCATACTTGATATTGCTTGAAGCTGATTTCTTGGAGTATTAGTTTCTGTACTCTGTTTGGAGCGAAAAATTTTGAATATATCTCTCAGTATATTTAGCATCGGTGATGATTGACAAAAAAAAATGTATTGTGATTAATCAAAGTATGATTAAGTTTCAGAATATGGCATATCACTTTTAATATCTGTTTCTAGTTTGTAGATGTTCTTGTGTGCTATGCTTATATTTTTTTGCAGATGAAAGCTCATATATCAACGTGTAGTCAAAATAGGCGAGAGTTTTGGCAAGCAACTTTTCACTTTTTAGAAAATATGTTTTGATTCTCTGTATACTTGCTTTATTTTGCTACAATTTTTTCGCACATATGATCTTGTAATATTCTTGAGATCATTTGGCATCTCTGATCTTGTATTATGTGTCTTCGACTTTTTGTGCAGAGAGATGTAATTTGTTTTCATTGATAAACAGGTTTGAATCTAATAAGCATTTTTAAGTTTTGTACTGTATGATATGTAATTAATTGATTTCCTTTCACATTATGTAGTACTAAATTTGTAGGAGATCGTTATATACTCATGAATAGGAAGAAGTTGCAGTTTTTGAGATTTTTTTACCAATAAAATTACTTGAGACCCTAATTTTTACTTGAATTATCAATGCATTTATTGTGTGATGCAGGTTTATTCGGGTGAACAGCAAAATTTGATATAAATTTGCTTGGTTTCAATTATCAGATTTTTGTAATTGTGTGTGCTAGTTATTGAATCTGCTTCCAAAGGTTTTGGTAAAATTGTACCAGTTCTTTTCTTGTGTAATACCATCTTGAGTTTCCACTTACACTTGTGTTACTTTTCGCTCACGAAAACTTGAAGTTTGATAAGAGCTGGAAACTTCTGGGGTGTACATCTGTGTTAGGCTAATAAAACACTTGTTGATCTGTTATATTCAATGCGAACAGGCTGGCGTGCCATGGACATCACAATGAGGGTTATCCATTTATTGTACAGTAATTATGGTTATGTTATGTATGTTACACTTTGGAAAGGCCAATTAACTTTTTAGTGTATATTGCTTTATTAGTACAAAAGTTTCGACGGAATTCCGCTTGAAATGCAGCAGAAATTGAAAGTCGTAATTCCTTTTCTAGTCGTATCATTAAACTAAAGTGGTGTGTTTAAGAGCTTAAATTCATTTCTAGCATCCAAATGAGTGTTTGGTAGTGTTTTCTGGAAGCTTTTACAATGAGAGTAAACTTGCGTAGCAATGGAGTGTTACTTAGTTTTATTAGCAGTTAGGTTTAACTTATTGCTGGTTCTAAACCTCGTTATCAATAACACTAAGTAGTACTTCGTAGTTACAGAATGTTACACCGGTTCTGTTAGTACTATATTTTTAAATTATGTAATCTCCTACTCAAAGAAATATTCAAATTTGTTTCATTACAGGTGTACTTATATGTGTAATGTACGCAATTCTTCATGAAACAGATGATTCGACTGCTATCAATTTTAGTGAATGTGGAAAGTTTTTCCCAGAAAAAGGTTTACAAATAGTTACTGTTGGTGCTAAGTACTTGCGGATTTTCCGTGCAAATCCATATGCCTTAGTACTGAAAAATGAACAGCAGTGGACCCAGACGACAAGACTAGAGTGTTTATTAGATGTACGATTGTTAGCACCTGTTCAAGCATTTGGTGTTGTTAGAATTTCACGTTAGTAATTTAATTTTTATGATATTTTCACATGGTTTGTTATTGCAAGCAATTTCTGTTTCTGATTTTCTTTATAGAAATACTCATATTTTTTGCTTTAATTCTAGAAAATTCCTTGGAATTACTTCAATTTATGTCAAGTTCTTTGAAATCTATTTTACAAGCATCAAAATTACTCATTTTTTAACTTTCTTGTGATTTATTTGTATACTCAAAACAAAGTTTAGTTCCATTATTTGCTCATTAAAAAATTTTCGGTAATTACTGTAATTGGTATTTTCTGGAAACAAATTCTTTACTCCAATTTGCTTCTTCATTACTCTGACTTTAATTGCTTTAATTGTGTGTAAAATTGCAGCATGATGATTTTGTGATCATTTTCATTCATAAGGAAAATTTTAGAAAATCCTGACTGCGATAGTCTTCTATTGGGATTTGATGATGCAAAACTTTCTGTCGTAGCTGTTAATCCTGCTGAACGATGTTTAAAAACACTTTCCTTACATTGCTTTGAAGATGAGCTGTTAAAAGATGGATTTACAAAAAATTTACCTCGTCCAATTATTCGTATCGATCCGGGTCAACGATGTGCCACAATGCTTATATTTGGAAGGTTAATCATTATTAAAAGTAGGCAGAAACTTGTTAAATTATTTTTCATACTCAGTAGGAAGAATTTCAAATTCATTCTGGTGTCGTAAAGCTTTAATTTATTCTATCTTATATTTAATTAGCTGGAAAGCAAATAAATAATATAAGTTGTTTCTTTCAAGTCCATTTTTCTAGTGCTTTAGATATTATTTTTAAGATATCTTGCTGTAATTCCGTTTAACGACTCAAGTTCTCAGTTACATTCTTATACGGTGCAGCTGTCACAAATAGACTCTCGTCTTACCAATGTTGTGGACATGATTTTTCTTGATGGCTATTATGAACCAACATTATTGTTTTTGTATGAATGTGTTCAAACAACTTGTGGACGGTGAAACTTTACAAAGATCTCTCCATTTTTGATTTAATATTATTTTAATAGAATAATTTTTGCTGCCTTTTATCCAATTTCAATAAAATTATCATTGGTTATTGTAGTATACTATTCAGTGAGCGTGAAAAGAGCATTGTATAAAACCATCATAAATAATTTTGAAAAGCAACGTTTTTTTCATAGTGCTTGCGTACGATATGATACAATGTCCGTGCTCGGTGTTTCACTGAATGTTAAAGAACAAGCTCACGCCTCTGTGTGGCAGTTAAGTAATTTACCGATGGATTGCAACCAGGTTGCTACTCTCTTTTGAATATGAATAAATTTTCTTTTTTATTTGGCTATGAATATAGTGAGACAGAGGCATTGACTATAAAAACCGAAGTTCTTGATTATATGTACCAAGCTTAGGTTTCAATATCATCGCACTCGGAAATATGTAATTTATTTCATCTTCGATTGGAAGCATTTGTTTGGTTATTTTTAGTTAGATTGTTCTATTTGTAGTAAGTTGTTTGTTAGAAAAAGATTCACTAAATTTGTTGTTGGCTTTCTTCAATAGGATTGTTTTAATTTGATAATCTGCAGCTTTTGGCCATACCTCAACCAGTTGGTGGAGTTTTGATCTGTGCTACAAACGAGCTTATTTATCTAAATCAATCAGTCCCTCCATGTGGCCAGTTTTTTTATTTCTTAAAATTTGGATTCAAAAAACCGTTGATTTTATGTAGTTTGTTTGAATACTAGATGTCATTAGACTAAAAAAGCTCTATTGCAGTTATTAGGTTGAACTAATAGCATATAATATTATTAAATCTGCAGATTTCTTGAATATTGTGAATTAATTTCACATATTTAGGAATCTCATTAAATAGTTGCATGGATGGTTATACGAAATTTCCGCTGAAAGATTGTAAGCATATGCTCATGACATTGGATGGTTCTGCAATAACTGCTATTTCTACGAATAAGGTATTTCCTTTTTTTCAATAATCTCCAGGAATTTTGTTTGATAGTGCTAATTTTACAAGTAGTATTTTACACTTGTACAAATATCTTTAAGCAGTTCTGCAGTTTAATAAATGCATTACCATTCAAAACCGTAACGCCAGAGATTATTGACCTCAGATATAAGTTTTCGTTTATTGAATGAGTACATACTTTTGCTTTCAGATTCTAGTTTGCAATCGTGATGGGCTTTTATTTATTTTAACTTTGGTTACAGATGCCACAAATTCTGTCAAGTCATTGGAGCTGAAATTTCAGTATGGTAAGTTAGCAGAATCACAATCTTTTTCTCATTTCCTTCCAAGATCAAGAAATTCTTGTTTTGAAATAAATATAGAAAGAGTCGTAGGTAGAGTTCCCTGCTGGAATTTTTAATTGTCTAACTGTGATTCTATAACTCATATATCTTTTTAATTGTCTAACTGTGACATATATATATGTCAAATCAATATCACGCAGAAGTTGTTTTTTTCTTGATTATTGATTGTGGCGCTGGATCTATTATGGCACTCGCCTCACGTCAGTTCTAATATGCTGATTTTCGCTACTTCATCGAATCCATGGCGCTGATCAAATGCTTTCGAGCGTTTTCTTGAGCACTATCGATGAAATATACCTCGATGTGATCAGATATACTGATCTCTTTCGCGTAGTGTTTATGAAATTTTGTAACAATTTCATTTCAAATCAACGGCATTATTTTGGTACTGCATCTCATCGTTGACCAGAAGTTTATTAGTCAGTAGATTACACTTTCTCCATTTCGTTCTCGATAGCTGTCAATCATGTTGCTTCTTGTCTCATACACCAGGATGTCCGGTCGATTCATCCTCATTCTAATTGCACTTCTTACTCGCATGTTGACTCTAATTTCCACCTTTTCATTTGCAACGACTGCCTGAACAGAATGGCTTTGTATGTGCGGAAATGCTTCCAGACCACACTTTTTGTAGAGTTACAAATGGATGCATGTATACAGTTACCGAGCGGTTGAGTTGCCAACTGATCCATCACAAAGCAGGAAATAGAGGATAGGCGGAAAAAAATACAGTGTGAAATCATAGATGAAAACAAATGGGAAGCGGGTGTGGCTGTATAAAAAAACTCTATTAATGATACGAGAAAGCACTCGATCATTATACTAACTGGCGAAACTGAAGGCTGAATGAGCGCAGCGAGAATGCCGAAATGCGATTCAACGCGAGAATAAAAAGCTTAAAAAAAATTGACCTCCGAACTGGTGGACATAATATATACTTATATAAATTTTTTACTAAGGCAGAATAAAACGTATTTGTTCTTATTATTCGAGAATAATTCAAATTAATGGATTAAAAACCACTTCGTCTATTCTGACTGCAAAAATTTTGAACATCTTAAATATGCTTTTAAAAGTTTTTGAGTACTTTATTTTTTTTCAGAGACTGTTATACCTTACACTATGACTTTTTGCGCACCTGGCTATCTTTTCATTGGTTCTCGTCTTGGTGACTCTGTATTATTACATTACAGTTTTAGTCACCCTGCATCAGAAGAATCTGCCGCGAAAAAAATGAAATTGAATTCTGAGTATAACTCAAACGAAGAAGATGAGGATGTTGAGTTATATGGGGAAATACTTCCAAAGGTTGTCTAATTTTACGGCTCTTTGGTGACTAAAGAAACGATCAGTTTTGTTAATTATTTTCTTAAAGCTAGGAACTAACAATTTATTCTTATTCATGTTATTTATTTTTACAATTGATGTCTTATTTTTTGCAAGAGTATAAGCTCTTGATCTAATTTTAAATTATTGTTCATTTGCTATCATATTGTATATTGTATGCTTTTATTAGAAATCATTTTTTGTTTTGAGGGATGGCATTTATAGTTTTAGAAGTATTAAGAGATATTCAATTATATATGGTTTCCAGAATTTGATGTCCGACATTTTTAATCAGGTGCTGAGAACGGAAGCTGTAGAAGAAACAATGAATATTCGGTTGCTGGATAAATTACTTAATGTTGGTCCTTGCAAGAAAATTACAGGTGGTTGTCCAAACGTTAGTACCTACTACCAAGAACTTCCTCGGAAAGATCCACTTTTTGACTTGGTAAATTTTTAATATTTTATAAATTATTCTTTTTTGAAAATATATATTTGTAGTAAAGTTATTTCTTAAGAAAATTGAATTGAGCAGTTGGGTTTAATTTCTTGTAATCTCTTAATTTCTTGATAAAAATGTCTTAAAATTATCATTGAGACAACATAACTTCATTTTAATTGCTTGCCTATGTTGTAATTTGTTAATCGGCATTCCAGTTAATAATGGTTCTAGAATAAATTCAGAAATTTGGACTTTCTTCTTTAGCTCCTATCGACAGATTTAAACAGCTGAAAATGCTTTCTAAAGTTTAAATTGTGTACAGGTGTGCGCATGTGGACATGGAAAGTGTGGTAGTATTTGTATATTTCAACGAAGTGTTCGTCCCGAAATCATCACAAGTAGCAAGTAAGTAATATTTCACCGAATATTCTGTTTTTCTTTCGTATCGAAAGTTGAAATTAGGAAATTTTCTGTCTAAAAACATCAAAACTTCTTCTAATGAGTCAGAATCTTACTATACAATTCTCTGAAAAGTCAAGGAAGGAAGGCAGACATATTTTCAATATTTAAAAAAGTTTATTTGCCCTTCGATTATGTTGACTTGTCACTTCCAAAGCATTTAAGAATATATGTATTTCTGTCTAAACTTATATTGTAATGCTTTTAACGAAAATAAGTTTCAGTATTGAGGGGGTCGTGCAATACTGGGCTATTGGACGTCGTGAAGATGATACTCATATGTATTTTATTGCTTCCAAAGAAGTTCGTCTTATTCATCATAAAGTTTCACCGCTAAATTTGTATATAAAGTAATGAGTGAGAACTGAACCACACATTCTCTCTCGAATATATTTTGTAACACATTTTTTCTTGTAGATCAAAAATGTATCATTAAATGAATTTCATTTTTATCATTTGCTTTGATAATGTTTAAGTTTTATTACTATTTATAAAATTAAATATTGTTAGATAGGAACTTTGGCTCTTGAAACAGACAATGATTTAGTAGAATTAGAAGCACCCATTTTCGCAACTTCAGAATCAACTATTGCCGCTGGTGATTTAGCGGACGGTGGTTTAGCAATTCAGGTATATTTTTCTGATAAAAAATTTCTGTACGTTTTCATGTGATAGTGAAGGTTTTAATCAGTGTTTTTAGGTTACTACATCAAGCATCGTAATGGTTGCAGAAGGACAGCAAATTCAATATATACCTTTGCAGTTGACATTTCCAGTTCGTAGTGCTTCTATTGTAGATCCATATGTAGCCATCTGTACTCAGAACGGTAGATTATTGCTGTTTGAGTTGACCAGTCATCCACATGTGCATCTCAAGGTAAAAAATTTTTTCCTAGTTAGTTTTTTGGAGTTTTAAAGCTCATTGTCTCATTAAGATTTATCATTTTAAAGCATGTATTTCCTTTTTCTGTTTGTGGTAAGGAAATCAAATTTAGCATCTTTTGGTCTTAGATTTAATTCTTAAAAATTTCAAATGCAGTTTTGAATTTTCATTATTACTACGAAACAACGTTTTCGCGACAGGAAGTTGAAATTTTGAAAAGATTACGCCATGAAACATCACCGATAACGTCTTTATCAATTTATCGTGATATGAGTGGTATTATACGATTTTGCTCTTTATCAAATATGTCACAACATATGTCTAGCAGTTTAAGTACGAAAGTTGCTGAACAGTATTTCGATGATGTTGACGATCTGCTTTTATATGGAGATTCTAGGAAGCCAAGTAGGCGCTAATATTTATAAGACAACATTATTCAAATTTCGTTGATTGAAATATAATTGCAGTTATTAAATTAAAATAGTTTATTGCTTCATTCTTTTTTTTTACAATATGGTTCTCTTGAAAATGTAATATTCAGCTCTTCTACAATCTTAGTTCTAGTTGTAAAATCAACATTTAAATTCTCTTCACTGATGTTTCCATAGAATTTATTGAATACATTGTCATTCAGAGTGTTGTATTAGTGGTTTATTTTTATTTTAAACTAATTAATTATATATTTAAGAAAAAGAAATGGTATCTAAACGGAGGATCGTTGGAACGAAACCGACGGAGCAAAATACTCATTTTGATACTGATATAGTTGACCCTAATACAATCGTACCTTCACATTGGATTGTGGTTAGTTTCGGTTACTAGTTAGGTTTTTTGTCACTGTGAAATTTCATATCCGAAATAATATATTTTTGCAGTTGTAAATCATATAATACTGTATTATAGGATATATCTTAAATGCAATGCTTTGTTTTTTGCTCGAAAAATATAACTTATAAATGAGTGTCTTTCATGAGGAGAATTTTCAACTTAAATTTTTTAAGATCTGCATTAGCATTGTACACTTTCTAGATTGCTCGAGAAAATGGCAATATATACATTTATTCTATACCAGAATTACATTTGGTTTTTATGGTTAAGAAAATCAGTCATTTGCCAGATGTTGCAACTGATCAACCATATGTAGAAGATGAACCATCTGTAGGAGATGGCGTCGATGCGTTATCTGGAACAATGGTCGACACGTTTGCTGCAAAGCCAGAAGAAGTGATAATGGAAGTGGTATGTATTTTTATTATATATGTGACAAAATCTTTTATGTTTATACAGCCTAATGAGGTTTTGAAATCATGAAAAAAAAATGTTTCGCACTTAAATTATATTGGTATGCAGTTGCTTGTGGGGATGGGTATGAATCAAGGACGCCCAATGCTTTTCTTACTAATTGATGACATGGTTTCAATCTACGAAATGTTTCCTTATGATAATGGTGTTCAAGGGCATTTGGCTATAAGGTATTGTAATCAATTTTCTATGTTTTAATATATTTTATTCTTTTTTGTACTGATGATTAACTAATTTGGTTGTTAATTGATGTGGTAATTTGTTATCTTTGGGCACTTTATTTTAGATTCAGAAATTCCCGCCCAAAGTTTACTCAAAGTTTTATTGTAGGTTTAAACGACTCCCGTACACATCAGTAACAAGATCCTGTCGTTTTCAAGGTGTGAATGGCCGAGCAGCAGTAGAATCAGTCAGGGATGCAGTTAGGCATAAACCTGTATTGCATCCTTTCGAAAGGATAGGAAATATTGTAAATTTTTTTTAAAAAAAAAGTGAAATTTATGTAAATCTTTCACGGAAGGAAGTAATGAAAATATTGTCTGTGATTCAGCTAAATGGTGTATTTATTTGTTCTTCATACCCATGCATTTTCTTCTTGGAAATCGGTATACCACGACTTCATCCTCTTAATCTTGATGGACCCATATTATCTTTTACCACTTTCAACAATATTGCTTGCCCGAATGGATTTATTTATTTGACAGAGAGGGAACGGCTAATGCGTGTGGCGAAAATGCCAGTAAGTTTGAAGGTTTTAATAAAACAATTATGTTGAAGTGTGTCGGTAAAAAAGTGACAAGCGAGATTTCGTATGCTGATTCATCACTAAGTAATGAGCTAATCTGACTGATGCTGTACAGAAAAACATTTTTTAAATAGTGTTTTTTCCTCATTATCTTTGACTGAAGCATCGAATTTTTTAAGCTGAAATCATGTCAGTTAATCTTGAAAAAAATTTTTCTAGAATGATGTCATACTCGACGCATCATATCCAGTGAAAAGAATCCACATTGGAGTGACTGTGCACAATGTTACATATTTATTACATTCGAATACTTATGCGGTTCTAACCAGTGAAAAAATCAATGTAAAAAAAATGTGTGTACTGATAAATGATGACAAAACATTCGAGGAACATGAAAAACCGGATACATTTATTTATCCACAAATAGATCAATACAAATTAAACGTGAGAATTTCATTCTTTATCGATTCCTACGCTATGCAAGAATATAATTTTGAACTCGAAATCTCATTGTTCCGCGAAATATCTGCTTAATATCAATCGTCTTTACGCAGTTCATATTACAGCTTTTATTTAGAATGTAATTATTGTAAGGTTTTCTCATCTTGACATCCAATATCCAGTTATTATTTTTTGTCGTGTGCACAAAAGATTCGTGGTAAAATTTTTTTAATGTTTAGTTATATTCACCAGAGGATTGGAAACCTGTGCTAAATGCAGAAGTGAATTTTGATGAGTTTGAAGTTGTCACTAGTAGTGAAGAAGTTGTTTTACGTTCTGAAAGCACTGTATCCGGCGTGCAAAATTACTTGGCTATTGGCACTGCATGTAATTTTGGTGAAGAAGTTTTGGTACGAGGCCGAATCATTATTTCAGAAGTCATTGAAGTGAGTATTTCACTAAAAACTTCATTCAGTGGAAATTCTAAGAATTTGTTAATAATTTTCTTTTGCAATCAAATCTTTTCCTACATTGTTATAGGTAGTACCAGAACCAGGACAGCCAACTAGTAAACATCGAATAAAAACACTATACGATAAAGAACAAAAAGGGCCAATAACTAGTTTATGTTCCTGTAATGGCTATCTATTAACTGGCATGGGTCAAAAGGTTAACGTTATTGTTTTAAGAGTGAAATACATATATAGATCGAAAGTTTTGATTGTTTGTGAAGAAAAATAAAGAATTCATGTACCTAATAGTATAGATTAAGTTACCCTACGTATATTAATGATATATTTCAGGTGTTCATATGGTTATTTAAAGATAATAATTTGCAAGGAATATCCTTTTTGGACATGCATTTTTATATACATGAACTAACTGGTGTTCGAAACCTTGCTCTTGCTTGCGATATGTATCGTTCTGTTGCACTGCTCCGATATCAGGTGCTTAATCGATACTATTCATGACTTTTGATCTTTTTATAATTTAGACTTGCTAGATGATTATCAGTAATTTTTGCATCATTAGTTAAAATCATAAAATAAAAGTTGCAATTCAGTAACTTGTCTTGAGCTCTTCAGGAAGAACACAAAGCACTTTCCCTAGCTAGTCGTGATATGCGTTCTGATGTGCAATCGCCAATGGCTTCTCAGTTTATGGTTGATAATAAACAGTTAGGATTTCTGATGTCTGATGAAGCAGCTAACATTGCTATGTTTAATTATTTGCCAGAAACTTTGGAATCGTTGGGAGGAGAGAAATTGATATTGCGTGCTGAGATTAATATTGGAACATTAGTGAATTCATTTATTCGGGTGAAAGGTACATACATTATATTGGTTGCTTCATTTTAGAAGCAAAAAATTTGCTCATGATTAACTAGCTAGTGACAGATTTTATGAAAAATATTACTGGCTTCATATAATTTGGTTATGACTTCTGAAGAATTTTCTTACCTGCTTTTTGATATTTTAAATTTTAGTCCTGAATTTTCTCTTTTTATCTCGTTTCATTTCAGTAATGAAGAATAATGTTAAAAAATGAAATATCATCAAAAAATAATCTTTTATAGGACATGTTTCAAGTGGTTTTGTCGAAAACGAATTACACTCATTAGAAAGGCAAAGTGTTTTTTTCGCTTCGTTGGATGGGAGTTTTGGATATCTACGTCCACTCACTGAAAAGGCTGGCTTTTCATTTTTTGTTCATCGGTAGACTATGAGGAAATATTTTTGTTCCTTTTCAACTGTAATATTGTTAAGATTTTAAAAATGTTTCGGGTGCTGTCAACTTCTATAAATTATAGAACCATATCGATTGTCTATTGTTTGTTTAGGTTTTTCGACGACTACACATGTTGCAGCAATTAATTTCATCCGTAGTTGTACAAAATGCTGGCTTGAATGCAAAAGGATCGCGTGCGCCACGACCACAAAAACCAAATCAATTTGGTGTTAGTTTTGGTGAACAAAATTTGTTAACAATGATATAATGCATGGTTTTGTGGAACTGATGTATTTATTATATTTCGCTTTAAAAGCCTGTTTAAAAATTATAAATGTACAATAATTTTATTAGAGAATAATCGATTTTAAATTTTAAAGAAAATTGTTGCAGTTTGATTTATTTTTGCATGCATTCAGGGAATTTGAAAAATAATTTTGTTTGGCGTTTAGTTAAGAATTTGTGAACTCAGATAAAAAACATACACATATTTTATTGTAGAATACTCGAAATTTGGTTGATGGTGATGTGGTTATGCAATATTTGCATCTTTCATTGCTAGAAAAAAATGACTTGGCTCGTAAATTAGGAACAAGTCGCTATCACATAATGGATGATCTCACTGAAATTCGTAGGCTTACAACGCATTACTGATTGTGTTAGGAATTTTCTGTTTTAAAAAATGAAAGTGAATTGTTGAGACTGTTTCTTTTATAATGAAACTGATCGCTCTATTGTTAATGTTTCTGTTCTATAATCAAATTTATTTTTTAGTCAAAGAAATGCATGAAACTTCGTAAAAGATTATTTCAAATTTTTTCATTTCACGTCGATAGGATGATGTTTGAAAAATTATTATTTGATTTTATAAGACGTTCAACATTGCTATGGTTGATATTAAACAAACTGGAGTCTCTAATGCAGTTACATACTTTGCATATTGTTCAAGTTGAAATTTTTGTTAATTTAATTAAATAAAATTTTCATCAATAATTTCCAGTGAGTATTAAATTTGAATTTCATCATAAGTTTTTAAACAAACGCTGACTGATAGGTGTATTTGCTATATATGCAAGGAAAATATGAAATGATGGAACTTTAGCTCTTTGAAAGTTTGAAGTTAAAGGTTGTATATGTTGTATTGATGAATCGACTATAAACTTACATGAATGTGTAAAAGAAATAAGAATATCATAATTACCTTTGTAAGTATGTTATCTGCTTCTCACTATTGGAATCAAATCAAGTAGGTGTTATTTGTTTTTGTTTGATTTATGCTTGAAATTTTAGAGGAATGTTTGGACAACTTACACGAGTTTTTATCAATCGGAAAGAAAATGTAGATCACTCTATTTGAAATTTAATGAAACTCGAAGTCTCCTCTTAGTACTTGAAAACGTTTCGATTGGTTAAGTGATTTTTATAAGCAGCGCTTATCATTTGAGTAGCTTTCTACAAAATTATTCTTAAATATTTACTGGGATGAAACAGTATCATATTTTTTAAACTGAATGCGTGGCAGCTGTCAATTATAATTTTTTTTTCATTGCTTACTTTGTCGTGTTAGTATATGTTTTCTGTCAGTTATTTACATTCATATGCTTTTTAGATGAGAGGAAAGAGGCTTTTTTCAATTGATTTATAATCGAGAATTGGGTTTGTTTGCAGATTGATAATATTCGCGCAGGGTCTGTGAAAGTTCATGACTATCTCGTTCTAAGTCGTCACATGCGGAATTATTTTCGTCCTGCATTTCATCACTTACCCAAGCTTGTTAACAAGTAAATTATACTTCCGTCTTTTCTTGGTCTTGACTATTGTCAACCTGCCGTGACTGGTTGCCAGTCTATATCAGTTACTTCATGTCGCTTCTTATCGTGGATGAGGCTAACCTGCTGATTCCCATTTTTTTTAATAATTGTGTATCGGCTCTGGTCTCGAAACCTCCTGAACAGAACTGCTTCGCATGCGTGGGAATGCTTTCAGTACATACTTCTTGCGAAGTCCCAAATGGATACTAGACAGGACCTCACTCTGTCTTCTAGTATAGTCGTGATATAACATTTCGCACTCCGCTGCTAGATGGTCCACTGTCTTAACACGTTACCCTCAATATTGGCACATTACCTTTGTCATCTCTAAACATATTACTATCTTGGAGATTTCAGTATCTCTTCATCTTGCGGGTTAATGTTTCCGTATCGTAGCCATATTGATGAATGGGAGCTTATTTGTCAGCATCTTGTATGGCTTTGCATGATCGGTTTTATTTTCTATTTGACTATACAAAAGCGCCTACTGAGCTTCCTTTCATCCTTCATCGGTTACAAAGAGCTTGAGATCGTCAATAGACAGAACATGTTCATTATGTTATCAGAAATCATAATAGGAAAGTAATGACCATATTCTTTACTTTGGAAATGCTGAATGATTTCTCAGAAATTAAGATTTGTGGTATTCTAATTCAGAACAAGCCATTTTTTTAATTAGGACAATTAAAGAATGCTCTGAATTGCGTAAATATAATTGAAAAATGTGGAAAAACCAACTAAAGTACAAGGTACACAATTAGTGGGTACATTTGGAATCGGAAATTTTTTCCATACTTTTAACTTTTTTTCTATCATCACTCTTTATCCTTATTCATTCTATTTTCAGAATTTTGTTTTCAATTCTTTTCTGAGCATTCTTTATTCATTCTTTCCTTGTTTTAGAATTTATGCACAAAAATTTCGGAAATATAGTAAAATTGAACCATTTAGATTCACAGCATAAATCTACGTAGCATACAGTGGAAAAATGAATCCAAAAACTATAACTATGAAAAAAAATTGCAACGTGATGGAATTGTTTAAAAAATAAATCTCAAGTGGCATACGCTAACTCAAATGAATCACAATAACTTTGTTTGTGACCCATTTTATATTACTACCTAATTGTGGCTTCACTCAGTATTTCAGGTTGTGAAGACGAGAATATTTAACTGCCAAAACTTGCGAATTCTAATTTCCTACTGCTTTACTTTGTAAAACGTCTCTATAGTGCTCGCACAAAATTGCATGACAGATATTCTTCATCGTTGCCATTAGAATCTGGTAATGAAATATATTCTTTGAGTATATGTGATCAAATAAATATTCATTTTCATCAAACGTTCAACAAGACCAAGTTTTATCTTTGCTCAGCCATGCAACTACTATTGCAATACCCAGTCAAATTTTTATCCGTACTACAATTGAATCGAAATTTTAAAAAAGGAAATAAAATATAATTACAGTAAAAAGTGGAGAAATGTCTGGACTGTCTTGATCAAACGTCAGTGCTTTGAATTACCAAGTAAAAGATTTATTTTCAAGTGATCAAAGAGCATCCCTGACAAATTATACAATAAATAAATGCTCCAAACACTGCATCATCTGCTTATTAAACGTGTGACTCCAAGTCAGCCCTAGTTGTTTGCAAGACTTAACTCTCACCACCATTTTTTAAGTAAATACCTAAATATTTGTTATTAGTGCACCGAGAGATGAAAGACAAGGACTTGCTTTGACGTCAAAACATCAATAGGTACGTGGAATTTTTCTAATAGATTTTAACACAAAGTCTGTATTTAACGGAACAAAAGAATGTTTCTGTTCACAATAATTCGTAAGAGACACTGCAAATGCATTACGATTTCACTGAATTACAGCTCATTTAAAGGTCATTTCTTCTTTCCTTAGCGTTTTTCCACTTTAATAATTATTATGCATTTAATAATTTTTAATTTTTATCCATTCAATAATTGTATAGTTTCTGGGAGAGAGGGTTTTTCCTCCCAATGCATAAATTATCAAATAAATCACTACCTATAGCAAACCTTAATAATTTTATTATTCGAAAGCAGTAAGTTCAAAAGTCATCGAGAAGAAGCACAGTCTAAACTTAGAAGCTAACTGCAAAATAAAATTCGAAGTGAGAACAATGTGCAGAAACTGCTATAAAACCATTGCAGTGTGTGCAGTGAAAGAAGAAAGTATTTGTTCCTTTTATTTGACTCACAGTTTGGGCCTAAAACTTTAAAATACGTTGTCATGAAGTTACAGCGTCTGGTCCACATCTAATTTACAAGATTCCACGACAGTCATCGCTTTAATCCAAAGACCACAATCACTGTGCAGATCAGTAATGCACACGATGTTTATCCATCCTATCGCCAATGGCGTACTATTCACAACTTTTGGAGTTTTTTAGCGATTCCCTCTGTGATCAGTGAATGACTGAAATGCTGTGCTATAATTCCTTGTAATTCAAAGGCAGTAAGTTCAAAAGTCATCGTCTAAGCCGATCACCCAATGAATAATTGATTTTTGTGCATTTAATCGTGTTCTCAATGCATATCCTCAGTAAAAAAACTAAACTTGCAGTCAAAGAGCGCTGCTTTCTGACTGCTTATCTTCATCGATATGACTTCAACTTCGTTTCATTACTGCAAATTCAAATTTATACATTTTATTTTGAATTTTTAATGCAAATGCAGTGATGGTATGAGCAAAGAAAAATCTCATTGTGATTTGGTCACATCTTTTCTGCAAGTATTTGACATTTTATAAGCAACGTTCAGTGTCTGTGTTGAAAGAGTCTTACAAAAAAACGCGCTCACAAATAAGCAGACAATTTTAGGAACATTCTGGGCAAAATTCATCTGAATTGTCGGCATGTGGCTTTTCTATTTATTTTTCCTTCACACTAATGTAAGTTTATTAAATCAATTTCGCCAAATGCTATATTCCCGCCATTAAGAGAAACAATGCTTACATAACTGAGCTAACCAATTTTAGACGGCAATGGATTCAATCGAACAAAGCGAATCATTTGGTATGATGCCGTTCAGAGGTAAGGAGTTTCCGTTAGATATTCCTTGATAAGGTCACTGAGTCTAAATATGAATTTATTACAGATCGTACAAATGGTTCTGAACTCGTGCAAAAAAACACAGTGCATATCAACACGGTAATTTGACTGATCAGAGCATTTCGTTAAATGATTTCAGTGCAGTAGAATACATATAGTTTTTAGGAATGAATACGAGTGAGTACGAGACGGAAGTTGAGCAGTACATGTAAAATCCCATAAGAAAACCATAAATACAAATAAGTAGATGAATCTGCCAGATAAAGTAGTGTCGCATTTGCAAGCAACTGAGATGGTCCCTCGCTCTCACACAGTCAGCCAAAAATCGCATTTTATGCCAAACTAAGCAGCAATTCGCTTTCAATCTGTCTTAGCGTTGCGTAGAGTGACTCTACACTTGAGACATTTGACAAAAATGCTTTTTGGCTGGCACAGTAGACAAATACAGAATCAGTCCCTTCGTTCTGCATATATAATTTCTTGATTTTCACGTAGGTTTTAAACGTTAGTTTATGATAGGCGGACAGGCGATGGAAACTGGGATTTTATCGTGATGAGCCAAGCGCATTCAAACCCTATAATCATGGAACGTACCAACTCAGCCCTCCACAAAGTTATAGCGTTACCCACCAGGAAGAATCACCTGTAAGTGAATAGCCTGAAGGATTAACATTATGAATGTTGTAATTGACCACTCTGTAAGAT